GATAATTTTTCTTTTAAAAATAAAATTTAAATATTAAATAAATTTTGCGTACATGTGTTGATATACAATCGATCTTCAAGATTTTTTTTTATTAAATTAGATGTAATTTGGCTCAACTAGTTTACTATATTTCCTTTTTGGCATAACAATTACAACTTTTAATTTAGTTTAACATTTAAAAATTGATTTTTTTTTTTAAAATTATGGTATTTTTTACACGTAAATAAATGTAAAGACTAATTTTCAAATCGAGTAGGACTGCAGTAAACCATAAAATTCTTCAAAAGAATTTGATATTACTGCATGCTCAAAATTAAATTCATATTCAAGACCTCTAATTAAGTTTTAAAAAAAAAATTATTACCTCGTATGCTCTTGAATTTAAAAATGGATTATATTAAAAACTAATTTGGTTTAGGACAAATGGTAAAGAAATTGTACTATTATAAAAAGCATTGAATGTGTTTTTGTTTTTGTTTTTATTTTAATGAACTTTAAAATAATTTAGTTATGAATAATAGATGTAGATGTTCATTTATCCAACTTTTTATATTTCTTAATTCTTATGAATTAATGTTTTAACCTTTGTGTTTTTCTTAAGTTAATGGTTATTCATTTGTCATGTATTATAAATAAGATCCACATTGCAATGTAAAATAGACTTTGGTAGAAGATAATATAATATTAATCTCTCTTATCTTCTTCTCTTTGATTTCAATATTGTTTTATTTAGTTTATAACACGTTATCAACACGAAACTCTACCATATGAATGTTAACTAATTGTCTAATAAGTGATACAAATAATTTGATAATCAAGGTCTAACTATATGAAGCTCAAAGATTTAGAAGATAACATTATTATTTTTTTCTTTGTAATATATATTTTTAATTCTACCTATTATGTATTGATATATTGATCAGAAGAAAAAAGAATCAATAATGATTTTCATGCATCCCAAAAGGATTTGATGAATAATGTTAATATATCTCTGAAAGACTATAAAATAATGTGTTTGTTATATAGTTCTCAAAGAACTTAACAAATATCCTTGAAGGATAGAAAAATAATAATTTATTATATAGTTCCTGAAGAACTTATCCAGCATCAAGGATAGCAAAATAATAGTTTATTATACAGTTCCTGAAGAACTAATCAAGATCCTTGAATGGTAGAAAAATAATAATTTATATAGTTCTTGAAGACCTTATAATGCATCTCTGGAGGATTGTACGAAAATTGTTTATCTTTATCATTGTTTGAAGATCTATGATCTACCTCTAGAAAAAAAAATTATATATATATTATAAAGGATCTCTAGAGGATTGCTCAAAGAATGAATTACTTTTGTTCATTCATCAAAAGATCATGCATATGTCTATTCACAGCCAGAAGTTTGTGAAATTATTTTCTCAACTAATTAGACTAAGATCTTGTTTTCTGGATTTTTCAGAAATTCCTCGATAAGTATCACATATATTACTAAAGCTAATATTGAACATCTTGAAGGACATGCTCATAAAAAAAGGACTTGGAGATCCATTCTTTAGACGTCTAAAGTTAGTTATATAGTTGATACTTGTGAGATCATCAATTCTAAATTAGATATTTGAAACACACAAAGTATGATATTAAGATATTTATTCGCATTAAGCCAACAAATTAGTACATGATAATTCTTCCCTTAACTTACAAATTATTTTAGGTTTATAATCTAATATTTCTCATTTAAGTAAACTTTTGGATGTGGTGTGATTATTCAATTGCTCCAATATAGTACGCTAAGACCAGTTTCGAAAGAATGTTGAGAAAATGCATTTTATATGAATCTCGTATTTGAGGTTTTATCTTGGTCCAATAATTGAATACTTGTTTGAAGTCTAGTAGATTGATTATCAATTTATAAAATAATTTTCTCAATACCAGGGGAAGAGAACAGTCAACATAACCTGTGAACCAGAAGTTCAAATGAATAATTTGAAATAAAATATTATTATATCATTTTGATCCTCGAAGTTCAAAACACAATTCATTTTCAAACTTTATGAAAAAAATTATTAGCGACTAATATTCCACTCAAAGTGGATTCTCATATTGGACAATATAATATTGCAAATGAGTTATAGCCGTGCTTGAAGCGTGGTAGAAAAGTCGGTTCCGATGTTAAAAGTCCTCTATCAAGAAAATAAACTAAAGTTAAAAATGACCCAAGTGAGGATATGAAAACTCTAAGAACACTTTGACATAATTTAATTTTGAGTTCTAGAAGAACTAACCAGGTACTTCAAATTTATGAAAATTAAGAGATCCCCATAAATATGATGGAACCATAATAAAGTCAATGTTGACAATGTCTTTGTATATAATATAGCAGTAGAGATGATAAATAATAATGAGGATCATGAGTCAAAGTCTATCAAAGATTGTAGACAAAGTGAGAATTGGAAAATATGAAAATATTCAATTGAAGAAAAATTAAACTCACTTTATAAGTGACACGATTTTGGACCAGTATTCCGAGCACCTCAAGGTGTAAAACCAATTGGATATAAATGACTTTTTGTGAAAAAATCAAAATAAGAATGGTGAAATTGTGAGATACAAAGCTTGAGTTATTGTTCAATAATCTTCACAAAGACCTAATATTTATTTTGGTGAAAGATGTCCACCTGCAGTGGATGCAATTCATTTTTTGATATTTAATTAGGTTTGTAGCACATCAAAGGCTTTATTTGAACATGATGGATGTTGTAACAACTTATTTGTATTGCTCACTTGAGAGTGACATTTACATGAAATTCTCTAAAGAGTTTATATATGAGAGATACATGTTTTTGGATATCGAGAAACTTACTCCATCAAATTGGACGAGTATCTCTATGGATTAAAATAACATGGACACATGTGGTATAATTCTCTCAATGAATATTTGCTAAGAGAGAGATATGCAAATAACTTCATTTGTCCTTATTTTTTTATGAAAAGATCTAGAAAATAATTTTCTATAATAGTTATCTATGTCGATGATATAAATATTATTGGAACTCCTGAAGAGATTCCAAAAGCTATAAATCTCTTAAAGAAAGAGTTTGAGATGAAGGACTTAGAAAAGATAAAATTATGTCTAGGTTTTCAAATTGAGCATTTGGACAAAGGAATATTTGTATATGAAGAAAACTATATAGAAAAATTGTTAAAACGCTTCTATATGGACAAATGTCACTCGTTGCCTACTCTAATGGTTGTTAGATAATTAGATGTGGAGAAAGATTCTTTCAGACCTCTAGAAATGGATGAAGAAATGCTTGGTCCTGAAGTGCCATATCTCAGTGCAATTGGAGCACTAATGTACCTTGCTAATTATACACATCTTGATATATCATTTGTTGTTAATCTATTAGTAAGAAACAATTCTTCACCTACACGAAGACATTATAACAGAGTCAAACATATACTTCATTACCTTAGAGGTACAATAGACATGAGTTTGTTTTATACCAAAGTATTCAAATTCGAATTAATAGGTTATGCAAATGCAAATCACTTGTCAGATTCTCATAATGGTATATCACAAACAGATTATTTGTTTATATGTGAAGGTACAACAATTTCATGGAGATCTGTGAAACAAACCATAACAGCAACATCATCTAATCATGTAGAACTTTTAGTATTACATGAGACATTTTCACAAAGTAACTCCCAAGTAGAACTTTCAATCAACTAGTACAAAAGATTGGTCTTCACTGTCGAAGAAATGATCGTTCAACTGAGGGTGAGAAATGAATTTACTTTAAAAAGATATTGTACTGATTTTCCTTCACTAGATTTTTTTCCATTGGATTTTTTCTAGTAAGGTTTTAACGAGGCATATCCTCAATGAACATCCAAGGGGGAGTGTTATGAATAATAGTAAATAGATGTGGATGTTCATTTACCCAACTTTTATATTTCTTAACTTCTATGAGTTAATTTTCTAACCTTTGTGTATTCCTTAAGTTAATGGTTATTCATTGGTCATGTACTATAAATAAGATCCACATTGCAATGTAAAATGGACTTTTGCTAAAGATAATATAATATTACTCCGTCTTCTCTTCCTCTCTTTGATCTCAATATTATCTTATTTAGTTTTATAACATAATTAAAGTTTTTTTACATATTAATGTTTGCAGAGAGAGTTTGTGATTTTTTTTTTCAAATATCAGTATTTTCACTAAATCGACTAATTTGATTTAGGAATCAATTCTAATATTAAATAGTTTTAGTTACTTCTCAACCACAAATTCAAAGATTAATCCATACTTATTTCTACCAAATCGTACCAATCATTACTAGTTAAACTAATAATCATTACTAAATCAACTAACCATTGATAACAACTTTGTGATTTGATTATATAATTTTGTGCGAAAATAAACGAGGGTTTGAAATAACACTAATGATATTAGCAGAGATTATTATAAATAAATAGAATAAGTGAACATCACAATTTTTCTTCTTATAGCGTTGAACTAATTATTCTAATAAATGCATTACGAATTGCGAACCCAAAAAAAGCATTAGGTATTTTATTCATTAGATTCTTAACATTGCGACAGCAATGAGCATAGAGTAGTCGCTGGCATGACATGTTAAGTAAATAAATAAACTTAATTCAAAAGCAATTATTATATTCTTAACCAAAATAAAAAAATATAAAAAAGGAATATTTTTTATACAAGATTAGTTTGAAAGTAGGTTTTAGGAGACGCATTTGAACCAATCATGAAAATTTTTCCGACCAAAAAAGAAACCAGTGACTAAATTAATAGTTTCAAACTCAAAACACCCACAAATTTCAAAGACAAAAAAACATAGAACATAAACACATGATAAAAAAAGTGACATAGTCAGAGAAAGAGAGAGAAGAAAGAGGTTCTTTTCCAGGTCGCTGTAGTTGGATACCATAGCACCGTGTTCCGGGTCGGGTCGGGTATTTGAAGAAAGGAAGAGAAAATATGGGTTGGATTCCATGTTCGGGAAATTCAGGAACCAAGAAGAAGATTGTGAAGATGGAAGTTGAAGACAGTGTTGCTCCTCAGATTAAACCTACCCCAGGTATTTTTCTTTTCTTTTGTTGGTTTTCAACGGTTCATCCATGGGTTTAGGGTTGTGAGATGAACAATAGAGTTTTCTGTGATTTTGTAATATGTGTTTTACAAATTTATCTACTTGTTTTATTTGGGGTTTCTTGCAAAAAAAAAAAGGTGATATTTTTAGGTGGAATTTGATGTGGTTAATGACTGCAATGTTTTTAGTGAATTGACCAAACTAGAAGCTAGAACAACATGTACATTTTCCATATACAGATCATAATAACTATGTTAACATGCCAAAGTACTCTGGCAAATTTTACTCGTAGTTACAGGGTCGGTCTTAGTCGTAAATCATTATTCATCTCACTTGAGTGTAGGGAAATTGAAGAGGAATTCATCGACAAATTCCAAGGATAAATCTAAAAACGGGAGCGCCCAACACATTGCAGCACAGACTTTCTCGTTTCGCGAGTTGGCGTCTGCAACTAGAAATTTTAAAGCGGAATGTCTTTTAGGAGAGGGAGGCTTTGGTAGAGTATACAAAGGGCATATGGAAAGTATCAACCAGGTGAGTATACTTTCACATGATTTTTATTTGCAAGGCAATGGGTAGTTCTTTCTATCCAACTTAACATGGAACTCTTCAAAAGGTTGAGTTTGTAACTTGTTTCGTATTTTCTAACATTGAATATAGGTTGTCGCAATCAAGCAACTTGACCGAAACGGACTCCAAGGGAATCGCGAATTCCTTGTTGAAGTATTGATGTTAAGTCTACTTCACCATCCTAACCTTGTCAACCTTCTTGGTTATTGTGCTGATGGAGATCAAAGGCTTCTAGTTTACGAATTCATGTCGTTAGGATCCTTGGAAGACCACTTGCATGGTATTCGCGCGTTCTTTTTCTCTCGGAATTTGATACTATCTTCTCGTTGTTATTTATGGGTTGTATATATTTGGTTTGTAGATATATCTCCGGGGAAGAAACGACTTGATTGGAACACGCGAATGAAAATAGCTGCTGGGGCAGCAAAGGGGTTGGAATATCTACACGACAAAGCTAATCCTCCGGTTATATACCGAGATTTGAAGTGCTCCAACATTTTGCTTGGCGAAGAGTATCACCCAAAGTTGTCTGATTTTGGTTTGGCGAAACTTGGCCCGGTCGGAGAAAACACCCATGTATCGACAAGGGTTATGGGAACCTATGGATATTGTGCTCCAGAGTATGCAATGACGGGGCAACTCACTCTCAAATCAGATGTTTATAGTTTCGGTGTAGTTCTTCTAGAAATAATCACAGGAAGAAAAGCCATCGACTACTCAAAATCCACGGCAGAGCAGAATCTTGTCGCATGGGTAAGAGAGAAAGTCTTTTTTATTTTTGTTTTAAATTGGCCTTTCATTATCGAAGTACTTCATAACGAGATTCAATATATGATTTGGCTTTTTTCTTGCAGGCTAGACCATTGTTCAAAGACCGAAAGAAATTTTCGCAAATGGCTGATCCTACGCTTCAAGGTCAGTATCCTTCAAGAGGGCTATACCAGGCTCTTGCTGTTGCAGCAATGTGTGTTCAAGAACAAGCTAATATGCGTCCGGTTATAGCTGATGTTGTCACTGCTTTATCTTACCTCGCTTCACAAAGATACAATCACAATACACAGACAGTCCAAAACTCGCGCCACGCTCCTCGTACTCCTTCTAGAACCAGAAGAGGACAATGATATGGAGAAAATTTCAAATTTGACTTGGTTCCAAATTTCAAAATATAGGTTTATAGATGTTAATATCAGTGTTCTTTTGTTGTATTCTCTTCTCAGCTCATAGGATATGATGAATAGTTGTGGAAAAACTTCGTGGAAATTTGTTACACTTTTTGGTATTTTCTCTTTTCTCTAAATATTTATTGAAGATCAATTTTTTTCCCCTTCATGTGTGCTTTAGAAATTACTCTAGCACACAACACAACCGAGTCATCAGTTTTTGCGAACTTCATTCGAATCATCATTTCCTCTTACAATGTGTTTAGAATCAGAATCGTCACAAGTATATTTGTTCATCTCATAGTTTATGTTCCGGTCACTGTTTTCTTTATTGTTGCAGTTTTGGACAAAGTGAAAAATGTATTCAAAACATTAAGTGCAAGACTTTTGTTGAATACTAATTAAACTGCTATGACGATTAGCTGAACAATAAAAAAATGGTTGATTTGATTCATAATAATACAGTAAGCCTTGTTAGAAGCAATTGAAGAGATTACATAACTTACCAGCATGATAAATAAAATGAGAATTAGAGAAATGTTCTAATTAGAAAAGAGAAAACATTATTTTGACCTTGAAAAAATGACTTACATTTACATGGTGACATTTGTATTATTTCTTCAAAAATGATAGTGTGTGAAAGCTTAATAAAGAAATATAGGTGTTAGGAAATATAGCAAACAAAAAAAGAGAATTTTATCAATAAAGTTAATAGTTTAAAAAAATAGTAAAAATGTACCTAAATCACGTTGTGAAAAACTTCTTTTAAGACAACATTTGTTGTTTGAGTTAAGGAGTTGTTGTCTTTATCATGTATTAAGATTTTCAATCCAGCTTTACTTTTAACTCTTGAAATAGCAACATAGAGTTGTTCGTGACTGAAAACATTCTTGGGCAAATATAAACCAACATAATCCAATGATTGCCCTTGAGATTTGTTGATTGTCATAGCAAATGACACTATAATTGGGAATTGTCTTCTGATAAGTTTAAATGACCATGGAGATTGAGAAGGAGAGAAAGACATTCGTGGTATGTAAATAGTATTTCCGATATTTGTACCTGAAATTATCTTTGCTTATATTACATAGTTGGCTAACTTAGTAACTGTCAACCTTGTACCATTGCAAAACCCTTCTGATTGATCCAAATTCCTTATCAACATGATGGTTGTACCAATTTTCAATTTCAATGAATGGTTAGGCAAACCAGAAGTTTTAAGACAACTCAAGAATTCTGGTGTCAATACATGAAATCTCCACCAAAAATTATAACTTTGCCTCCAAAAATTTGTTGACATTCAACATTGTCATCACTCATTATATCCTTCAATGACTTGTCAAGAGCTTCAAAACAAAACTTATTAGCCATAAGTGTTTCATCCCATATAATGAGTTTTGTTACCTTCAAGAGATTAGCAAGATCTGATTTTTTCTCAATGTTACAGATGGAAGATTCCAGACATGGAACTGGAATTTTGAATTTTGAATGTGCAGTTCTCCCACCTGGTAACAACAAACTTGCTATTCCGCTAGATGCTACATTTAACACAATATCTCCTTGACAACGCAAAGCAGCAGAAAGTGTGTTTCACATGAAAGTCTTTCCACTCCCACCATAACTGTATAAGAAAAAAACTCCACCATTTTGATTTGTGACAGCTTGCATAACTTGTCTAAAAATTTCATGTTGTTCATCTACATTCAAAAAGAACACACCATCAAAGTTGTTACATTAGCAAAGTTTAAATGTTCAATTCCTATTAGGAGGTATACCATAACCATTACCATATAATGAATATCATGAATATATAATTACTAAAATCTAGTCCATGAACAATATAAAATAAGTATCGCATATGTGTTTAACTTGATGAGAATGAAGATGAACAACTATTATAGAAGGCTTAATAAAGCATAAAGTAATATTATTGAAATAATTGTAAAATCAATACCCGTTAATTTTTGAAATAGATTGTGGTAAATCTCTTCTTGAGCCTTGATATCATATTGTCTTTCATCATATATCAATCTATTTCCAAGAAAGTCAAGGACATAATTATTTGGATATGGCATTGGCTTAAATTCTTTCAAACTTCTTCTATTTTTCTACAGCTGCTTCTCAATTTCCATCAAAGTGAGTTGTTGAATATCTTCATCTGACAAAGTTAAATCTACAAAAAAAAAATAAAAGTTAAGTAATGAAAAAATATTATTGAATAAAAGTATTGTAAAAGTGTTGTAGAAGTGAATAAAAGTGTTGTCAACAAAAGTGTTGTAAGCAATAAAATGGAGGAGATAAAATATAACTTATTGTGACATAGATATAAAAAATATGTATTAATATAACCTGGATTTTGTGACAATAGTCTTTGTTCATATAGAATTCCATCTGATAAGTATATCCAATTGTAAAGCCATACATGTTCTGGTCGATTCAATGAAGCTGATAATAACATTGTAACAAAAAGTTTGCGCAAAAATACTCCAGAACCCCAGTTATAAACTTCTTTAATTGCCTCAATGAACTCTTTGTCATCTTCTAGGAAGCCCATTACAAAACATGCTTCTCTAAAAGAATTGTGCTTGAACCCCTCAATTGTCTTTAGTTCATCATAAGATCTTGGCCCTTTCTTCACAGTCAACAACATCCTCATATAATACAATTCTCCGGTCGTTTGTGGGACCCAAATGAGTCAGCCAATTGTGTAACCTCTTTTACGTGGTTTCCAACACCTTTTCCTCTTGTCATATACAAAATTTGACACAAATTGTCCATATGTTAAAGACCTTGCTTCTTCATATTGGCTAATTGCGAGAAACCGAGAAGTAAACATTGATTCTGTGACACTTGGTTTAAGTAGGAAAGTACCTATTTGCTCAAAATCTTTGTAATACACAGAATTCTCTCCTTGCATGTGAAAAAATAATCTTTCAACAGCTGGTTTTCTACCATGAATTGAATAAGAGAAGATTCTCCAGCAAGCTTCACTTGGTGATACATATCTACAATCAAGGTACTACTTGATTTCATCAGCATTTCCATCTTGACCAGTGTTATTTGGAACGATAATAGCTAAGATCCTATCAAAACCCTTGTTGATGTATTTGAAAAGATATTTAATTGACGTACTTTGATTGCACCACTCCATATTTATATGTGCCTCATATTTCATCAGCAAACTTGGATTATGGGGTACAACATGACCACTATGCAGTGTGACTCCGTTTTTCTCAAATGTATTACCTTGATCTCTCCTTCTATAAACCGGATATCCATCTTGATCAACAATTATGACATCTTAAAATTTCTTAGGATAGTACTTGGAACACTTACCATCTTTCATGCAAGGGCATTTAGGATTTTCTAACCCACAAGGTCCATGTACCATGTGGTTTTCACTAGATTATACAGTCTTGGATGTTTCAATGGATCGGGAACTTCAGTAGAAATGATTTTGTCTATGTCTTCAGGAGCGAGATATTTATTTGATGGATGAAAGAAAATAAGAATGTGTGCATGTGGGAGACCCCTTTTCTGAAATTCAATTGTGTACATATCTGAAAATAAGATCAAATGTTAAAAAAGTAAATACATATGAGAATTGGGTATATTCTCATACTAAAATTATAATTTCATAACCTAAATATTATCATATATATGAAACAACCTTTATATGTAAACAATGGATAAAGTAAAATGCTACCAAAAAAGAAATGGTAGACTTACATGCGAGAACCTTGCCTAAAACACCTTTCTTTGTCACATCCGCTAGGAGGTTATCAAACTTCATTTTAAATATTCTAGCAATGATATCAGGTCTATCACGTGGCTTCAAATTTAGAGGACCAAACAATCTTTGAATTTCTGGCCAATTTGGGTTGCATGTGAATGTAATGAAAAGATCTGGAAATCCCACCTTACTACAAATTGCCATTCCATCATAGTACAATTGATCCATAAATCGTCTACTCCCCACATAAGATGATGGTCATATGACTCTTTTTCCTATGCTTGATCCATGTGTTTGTTCTTGCTCTACATTTAGACTTGTATACTTTGACACTCTTAGTTTGGACTGATTTTTCCTAATCCATTTCAATCTCTCTCCTTCAAGCATTGTGTAACCATCCACCAAAAACTGTTGGAACAATCTTCTGGACGATAACAAAGTCTTTGCCTCATTGCACCTACTTTGGATTCTAAATGCTAGCCATTCTCGAATAGTTAGTCGGTTCCTTTGACTGTCATAAAAAATGTCAAGATCTCTGTGTGAAATGGCGTCTCTATATCCATCCTCTCCATAAGAAAAAATCAAGGGATACTAGTAAGACAAGTAAGCTGGATGAAACTCATCAATGCGTTGATGTTTCCCCCCTTTGGCTTGCACTATAATGTCTCTTTCCTCAGCAGTGTCAATGTCACCAACAATTAAAGCTGCCACTTCAGCAACAGTTGGTTGATTGTACAATCTTCCATCAGTAGACCTAGTTGAAATAAATTTGAGTTTTAAATTATGAACATTGTTGTGATTGAGCCATTGTCTAGCCATTAAGAAACTTTTGGCATGTGTGTTATGTGTGTACAACATATCTGACAACTTTTGTATAGTCTCGGGTAGGATGTTGTTTTTGTTTCTACAACAATGACAAAAAAACTAATTAGTATGCATTATAACGATAATAAGATATAGGTAAATAAACATGATGTTTGGTTACCTGAGACCGTCCATTCTATTTGTAACTTCATTTTCAGTGTCATATATGTAAAGTTGGGCAAATTTAGGTGGATGTCCTTCTGGTGGTAATAAACTACCAATTTGGTGGCAAACTTGTCCTTGGATTCTAATAGTAGGTGGGCCACGACCATTATTAAATCTAATGTCCAACTTAGCTCCCGGTGAAGTGAAAGCAAACATCATGTTGTATGTCCTTATTTGTGACTGGAAATTCTTACTATCC